TTTTTTTTTGGGAAATAGTTACACGAAGTGACCTTTTTTGACCAGTTCAAGATAGTTTAGTGGGAAGCTTTCTCTTCAAATGACAGCTTTGAAATTTGAATTTGACAGCTTTTAGAAATTTGCAAATTTCCGTGGGATCTGTGCCTCTGATGTCTGTTACTCCGGGCTTTTGGTGCGACGTGTAGCAGCACAGGTATCGCTTTTAATTGCTGAAACAGTGAACGTGTTAGAATTTGTGCCTTTTTTCATAGCTAATTGGATTAGAAGCAGGATCTCACTCTCTTGAATAGATTATGTCCCTGTTTGGGGGTTTCTGCCTGCTACGAATATATGTTTTTCTCTATTCTTGATGATGCCAAGCTAACAAGAGGAGATGTGGTGTTTTACCGGAGAAACAAAGTCAATTCAACAGGACAAAAGTTCTCCTTAATAATAACTGCTTGAGAATAGTCATGTAAAACAAAGGCTTGCATAATACATTTGATAATAGTAAGCTCTTAATCAACTAGGTAATTTGTCTAACATAAATATCTTTTTTTGTGCTGAAGTACTGCACCAACAAGATAACTTCAACAGTTAAACTGTATTTAGTGAGTACAGTTCTAAGGAAAGTCATGTAAAACTTCAGACATCTGAATCGGTCTTATAAATGATAAGCTGTCATACAACTGGGGAAAAGGAATGCATGTTTGTTACAAACAAGGTGATTCAAAAACTTGTATGTTAGATTGTATCGTAACCTCTTGATAATTTTTTAAGAAGTTATTTCACGCTTATCAAATAGTACTTTGAAGGTATTCTTAAACTGTATTGTAGGTTGTTGTTTTGTGGTGTGTTTTTTTTTTTTTCTGCTAGAGCATGAATCGTGATTTAAATCCAAAATAGTTCAAATATGAATATCCATGTTCCAAGAACTGGTAATTTGAACAATGTTTGGGTACTGGATTATATTTGAAACACAACTAGTTTGAGTGCTCCCCCAGAAGTTCCTGATAGTATGTTTCTGTCGTTTGAAAGTGTATTTTTTTAAGTTTGTTAACTTTATCTGAACTGTAATTTTCCTTTTTTTTTTTTCTCCCTTCACTAATACAGGTAAACCTACTCTTTAACTTAAAATAAACCATCAATTAAGGCTTCTGTTATCTTTCAGTAACCTTTTTCTGCTTTGCTTTTGCATTTCACCTGAAGAGCTGCTTCAGGCCTATAAATGTGAATGCCAAAATCCAGTACTTTTACTGTTGTTTGGGGTTTTTTTTAACAGTAGTAGAAATTATGTGGGTGGGTGAATCTTCATAATGTGTTGTTCTACTGGTTTATTGAGGTAATTTAATCAGGGCTACTATATCATTTCTATATCATTTGGTTCTAAATGATCTGAACTTGCAAAGAGGATGTTGTCCATTCATGCTGCTTTCTGACAATTAATCTAGTGTTAAAATGAAACGTAGATGACCTACGAGTGAGTTTAATAAGAAATGTGAATCTTCCCACTGGAGGAAATTTTTTCTGTAGTTAGCTATTCTTGCTGTTTAGCAGACAACCAAAGCTCCTTCCTGTTTATTAAGTCCCTTAGGGACACCAGTTAAAACTGTAAACTTAAGGGAGTTTCTGGAACTTAGCCAGAATCCAAATAAGAGTTAAAGCTTATTGTCAGAAAGCTTAAAAAAAAAAATACATGTCATTAATAGTTAAACAGTTATTAGCATTTTTAGTAGAACCGAAGCTTATCCCCAATATTTTATGGATATGTCTAGGGGGAAAAATACCCAACTTATCTCAAATGTTAAAATTATTAAGTAAAAAAAAAAAAAAGTCTTTCCATTAGTTTTCTTAGCATGTCTTGATTAGTATTCCTTTCAGGTTTTATTTTTACAGCGATAAAATGTGTTGTTTTCAGGTCTCTACTGAACAATCTTAAGGGTATTCTAGTTCGATAGACCTAAACTCTAATATTTGTCTACTTTCCTGTGTTGTAGTTATGGAATTTCCAAAACTCTTAATTATTTTGCTTTAACAGGTGACTGGTTGAAGAGAGAGACCTGTTCCTGACTATGTCGAGGAGAAAGTTGGAGAGTAAAGGCCTTTCTGGCTTGTTAGCTACATCTCTGCAGACACAAATCAAGACGGACAATTTCCATGATTTTTATATGCTTGAATCGAAAGAGCTAGGAAGGTAAGATTATTTTATTTTATTTTAATAAGAGGAATTTCTGTTGTAAGACAATTCTTTGTGCAATGATAGACTGTTTCGGGGAAACTTTTATGGTAGTAGATGGGGGAATGACGTGTCCCACTCTCCTTCCTCCCTGCTTCTTTGCAGAATCTGACAAGTTCTCCAAGGACCCAGAAAAGGTACAGTGAGGCATAAGTTGCCAGCCTCTTCCACGTCAGAGAGATTTAGCCTGTTTTCACAGGCATATGGATCTGGGATTGTGTTCCTTTTCTTCCATTTCCCGTGTCTAGTCACCTGTCGCGTGCCAGGTACATAAACTAAAGAAGAGATGACATAGGGTAATGCTGCAAGACAAAGAATGGGGATTTTGAATTGGTTGTTCCAGTTGTTTGGTTGAGTTTTTTGAAGTCCAGAAAACAAAGACCTTTTTCTCTCTCCCTCCCACCCTCAAGCAGTTAGTGTAAGTTTCAGAGTAGTTTTGCAGCCTGCCTCCCTTGCTCATGTTTGCAACAGTAAAATCAGAACTAAAACAAAAGAAAACAAAAAAAGTGGTATTTATGATACTGTTTCAGACATCTGAGTTAATGCTTTTTTGAAATCATTTTTGGTTAATTCGTACCTTGAAAATATTCAGGGAATTGTATGTAAAGCTGTGCAACCATAATGCCTGGTCCTGTTTGCAGGCTCCTCGAACAGAAGCAGTGTGGGTCAGTCTCAGTTGTGCCATGCTGTGCTACATAATGATCCTTTGCACCTGTAACTTGTTTTGTCAGGAAAGATGCTCTTCTGTATGTGATTTTGTAAGCTCTTTAGCCTTTGTTGTTCTCTTGGTGTAGTTTGGGATTTTTTTCTAGTATGTGCTTTATCTGGTACGTTTTTATGGGTTGCAAGGTGCACTTTTATAACTTTCCTCTTTCCTTACACCTTTGCCAGCTCTAGTTTTGAATTCTAGGCTCAACAGAAGCAGTTTATATGCACTATCCTCCAGAACTCCAGTATTGTTAAACTGCTGACTTTCAGATTGTACATACCTGTGAGATGATGTCTAAAGCAAACAAAAGTATATATTTTGCATGGGTTCCAAAACACAGTCTTTAATACTTTCTCTGCATGCAAAACCAGGCATAGCAAAATAAGTACCAAAATGCCAAGAGATAGAAGCAGAGTAGTATGTTTTCTAGACATACTTTTGACCTTTCCTGGCCTAACAGTGTGTGTATGCATTTTTTAAAAAAACGTTTTAAGTGTTTACAGCACTTTGCAAGTGATGTAAAATCCACCTTTCCTTGTAGCTTCTTTAAAAGATTTAATATGCTTTTCTTTTCACTTGCAATTTTCTTCTTCCTCTTCAGGTTACGTAGTAAATGGTCCTTTTGTTCTTCTGTGCTTGATTCCCAAGTCCCATTTCTTCCTCCCACACCCTTATCTTTTAGGTCCTTTGGTATTTAAGAGACTGACTCATGAAGCAGGCAGGTTCTGCTCAGTGGGTTAAGTAGTTCTGTCCCCAGTGTGTGGATGGCTTGGCTTGTTTTGAAGTAGTTGAATTTCTGTGGTTTATAACTTGGGATATGAAAACAACTTGAAATTGGCTTTTTTCTCATAAAACTGAGCAGTAAAGTGTGGTTAAGCGTTTGTTTTGCAGGCACAAGGACTGGGAACCACTTTGCCTGCTTCAGTGCAACACTTCAGATCTGACTTTTTTGCATTTCTAGGGAAATTCCACTGCTCTAAAACAATTTTGTGTCTTAATAATTTTGTCTTAATAATTGGCACGCTATGAATGCAGTATAAACAAGTGGAAATTTTCACATCATTTATCTGGAGATAGCGCTGACCTTCAAAGCTGCGATACTCGCAGTGACTAGAAGGAAGATGCACAAAAACTATCAGGGAAGATCTCGTTGTTCTCATGAAACTCAACCAGTTCCTCTTTCTTAATTTTAGACGAACTTTCATGGTTGACAGGGTGACGTGATGTTAAAACGACAATGTGAGCTGTGGGGGGAGCATCTTAAACTTTGGTGTATTACAGAATTCAGCTCAGTAACTTCAAATGCTTTGCAATAATAAGCTGGTTTAACAATTGGGAAAAGACTTGGCCATTTCAGGCTTACAAATAGTTGCTAAAATGAAGAATGCATGTATCAGATTGTAAATAACTTTCACCTCTTAAATTAATTTTTCTTTTGAGTTTTGTGCTCTTACCTTTCTAAACTTAGTGCTTTCAGAAAAGGACAAGTCCTGCAACTAATTGCAGATGCTATTTTGTGGAATTTGTTTCTATATAAGTGATAGTATGATTAAAGGTCAACTTTACAAGTTTATTAATTTATTCAGATTTGTACAAACTGTATTTAACATATGGTTATTTGCAGATGGAAATATGATTTTTTCATGAGATGCTCATACCTTTTTTGATTAAATACTGAAGTCTAGATTTTTCAGAAAAGCCTCAGACATGCTTGTTTTCATTTTTTTAGAGATATTCCTTTTAGGCATTGGATTTTTTGCACCCGAAGACAGGCAAAGCCTATAGGGCAACAAAGTCTTTTCTACTCAAGAAGCTGATTTAGTTGAAAAAGTGAAAGTCAGAGAGCTTATAGTGAGCTGCTTCATCAAATTTGTTCTTAGTATGCTGTGGTAACAAAAAAACAGGCATGGAAAGGCATTGTTTTTTTGGAGACATAAGTGTAGGTCTTTTTGTACAGTTTTGTAACTGTGTTTAGAACTTTACACAATTTTTTTTTAGCCCTTCAAGTTGTTTTCCTTTAAATGAAGTTTCCTGTATCATTTGAAACACTTTGCAAGTATGCAACTAGGCATTTCTGGGAATGCAAAACTTGTGATTATAAAAGTTTGGGTTTTCAGAAGTTTATAACTTGGCTTTAAAAAGTGCATTTTTTCCCCTAGTTTTTTAAAAGGTCAGCTTGGTGATTTAACTACGGTATGTGGTTTTCTTTTAAAAACATTTCTTTGCCAAAATACATTTTTGTTTCCATACCTAAACAGTCGGATAGGAAATAAAGCAGCACACTTTGTCTAACTGTAATTGAGAAAGAGAATGCTCAGTAGCGGGTGTCTTTCTGTGGAGATGTTTTAAAACGTTTTGCAGATACCTGGGGTTTCTGAGCAGTACTGTGTGATTTGTGGAGGGAACTTCTCTGTATGACTCAAATTTTCTGCACTTAAAACCTTCCCTCCCACCTCAGCATACAAATACACTTCATTTTCTGTTTTCGCTCTCTACATTTCTCACGGTTTTGTTTTATTTATTACTGTATCCTGTAGGTGCTATAATGTGGTTGAGATTTTTTTTTTTAATACAACGTTGCCAACCTGAACAAAGCCCTGAGCAGCCCAGTAGAATCTCGTGGCTGGCTCAGCTTTAAGCAGGAGGTTTTGCTAGAGACCTCCAGAAGTCTCTTCCAACCTCAGTTACCCTACAATTCTGTGATCCTACAGTAAGAATGTCCGTGTAACCTGATACTCTGATTTAATGCTGCAAGGCTGTATAGAGGGAATTGTACTGGGTCTGCCCAAAACTTCATCTAGCTTAGTATTGTTTCTCCTGTAGTGGCTGAAAGTGAATGTTCAGGGAATAGTCTAAGAACAGGCCAAACATAGCATTCCCCTGAGAATTATTTTATTTATTTTTTCAAATTTTAGTTTCCAGTAATTTGCTGTGCTTTTTTGTTTCTTATGCCAGTTTACATACTTATTAGGTCTTATGTCTTAATGTTTTCTTTTTTATTTTGTAGAGGAAGATGTGCTGTGGTTAGAAAATGTATAGCTAAATCCACAGGCCAAGAGTATGCAGCTAAATTTTTAAAGAAAAGAAGAAGAGGTCAAGACTGCAAAGCAGAGATTCTTCATGAAATTGCTGTACTTGAACTAATGAAATCTAATCCTCGCGTAGTTAATCTCCATGAAGTCTATGAAACAGCAAATGAAATCATCTTAGTGTTGGAATAGTAAGTATGCATTCATCAGATGTCCCACGTCTGTAGCTACAAATCTGTCAACGTACTCATTTTTTGCATGAGTTAGCTGAACACCCAGGAGAATTATGACAGTACTCTATATACGTTATGCTAATATCTTATTATTATATACTTTATAAGCTTTTAGGGACTTTGGAGCTGTTTCCTCCAAAACTCCCATGTCTCTCTAGATTTCCTGTGGCTCTTCATTATCTCTGAAAACAAGTCTGATTTGGGAATTTAATTTGAATTTGAATTATCTACCATTTTGCTGTATGTGTAAACTTTTGTTTAGAATGTAAGGAACAAAAATGCAATTTGTGAAATTAATTCAGAAAGTCTCTGAGTTAAATTTCATGTACAAAGTGTTTGAAGAGCTGTTGACAGTGGTCTGCACACACTATGATAAATTCCTTCAAAATTTCTGAAGAATGTACATAGATGATCTTAAAAAAATGCTTTTCTTCCTGGAACAAGATGATTCCTAACATGTTATTTGTTGTTTTGAGAAGGCATAATAAATAATGTAGAAGTAAAGACAAAGTCTAGATGACAAGTTTTGAACTTTTTATCAAGAAGTAGTGCAAGTGCATATGAAAGCCATACTGATTTTACTGCTTCTGTGTCAGCTCGGCTAACTCTGTCTTGCCTGTTAATGCTCTGTAATGAAACAGCTTCCTTTATACTACACTGGTGTTAATGGTCTACTTTGTAGTAGCATTCAGAAGTCTTGCAGTATGTGTTCCTAGTTTTATTGGGATAAACGGAGAGCTGATTACACTTCTAAATTATGTCCAGATTAAATTATGTAGCAGAATACAGATTTTTTTTTTTTTGTTTCTCATTATCAGAACTCTGAAGCAGTACTTCAAAAGAATTGCAAGAAATAAGTCTCTTACTAATAAAATAGTTTATAAGCATTTCCCTTTTAGCCATATTTTTCCTCCTACATATGGTCCTCACTGTTGTTGGATTGTATTGGTGGGGTTCTTTGGACGATGCAGTAGTTAACAGTCAGTTTGTGTAAGCACATATTCTCTAAATAAAGGAGAGAAATGGATGTTAGTTCTTAATAAGGCTATCTTTGTAGAGGGAATTACTAAAGACACAAATACTTCTTCGGAAGCCCCACAACAGAGGTTGTTACTCTTCTAATCTGAGGGTCAAAGGTAATTGGAGGAATCTGGTTGTTCAGAGAGAAACCTGACAGCTGTACTAATTTTCAGAGCTATCTAGTTTTGTTCATTGAAGAACTAAGAAAGGCCCTACAGAGTCAGATCAATGGTTTGTCTAATCTGCCGTTTCCAGCAATGGCTGTAGGGAGATGCTGTTTAGGAAGAACTAAGGAGCGTATGAGCCTGTCGGCTTTTTGCTGTCTGTTCTCTTTGCACTGTCCCAGCAATGAGAGGTATTGTGCTGAGGGTACCTTTCTGCCTCTTCCTTTTAGTATCTGTTTATGGACCTTTAGTCTGTGAATCTGTTTTGTCCTTTTTTCGAGCCTGGTGCTAGCGCCTACTTCGGTGTTAATAAATTCCAGATGTTCATTACCTACTGTGTGAAGAAATACTTTTTTATCTGTTTTAAACTAATCAGCGAGTTTCATCAGATGCCTCCTAGTTCTCATATTGGGATTTGGTGAATAACAGTTTTCTTGTTTAGTGCGAAACTGGCTTTAGTTTTTATAAGCCTCATTCATAGACTCCCCCACAATCTTCTATCCAAACTGAAGAGTCGGTGTCTCCTTGGTTTCTTTTTGTAGAGTAACTGTTCTCTTACCTGCCCTTCTCTGTCTTCGCTAATCGCTTGATGCTTCTTGAAGATACGAAAACCAGAACTATATGCTAAGGCTTTATACTGAGCATCGTTCTGCTGCTTTTTGTTCTCAGTAGCCTTTCTGATGATAGCCACGTGTATTGACTTTTATTTAGACTGCACACTGGTCCAATTATTTCAAAGAGCTGTCATAGAATCACAGAATGGCATAGGCTGGAAGGGACCTCAGAGATCATCTAATCCAGCCTCCCTGTCATGGGCAGGGACGCCTCTCAACTAGACCAGGCTACTCAAGGCTCTGTCCAATCTGGCCTTGAGCACCTCCAGGGAGGGGCATCCACAACTTCTCTGGGCAATTTATTCCAAAGTCTTACTGCTCTTGTACTGAAGAATTTCTTCCTAAGATCTAACGTAAATCTGTTCTCCTTCAACTTAAACTCATTTCCCCTTGTCCTATCAGTGGACACTCTTGTAAAAAGTTCCTCCCCAGCCTTCCAAAATGTCCTGAGTTGTACCTGCCAGTTCAAAGTTTGACATTGTGTAGGATTTGATTAGGTTTATTTTTCTGAAGGTATCTTACATTTATGTATGCTACAGGCCATCTGGTGCTCTTTTACTTGCTTTCTCAGTTGATGCTGAACTCGCTTGTTAATGTCTTCCTCGAACTGAGGACCCCAAACCGGGATGCTGCGTTCGCGCTGTGGCCTAGCGTGCTGGGTAGTCACTTGCCTCAGCCTGCTGGCCGTGCCTCTGCTGTTACAGCCCAAGGTGCTGCTGACCTTCTTTGCAGCATTCAGCTCGCTCTCTGTGAGGACTCCCAAACCCTTTTCAGCAGAACTGTTCAGCTCTTTAGCCATCTGGGTGCCCACTCCTCCAGACCGTAATGTAGCAGCTTGGATACAAGAATCTTACGGGAGACAGTGTTGAAAACCTTATTAAAGTTGGAGTGGATCAGATCCACTGCTCTTCCCCTCATCTACTTTTGTCATAAAGGCAACTAGGGGAGGCGTTACTGACACCTCACATAGCTCCAGCAGGTTAGTGACTGTGTTTGTCCATGTTATCCGTTATCTGACTTTAATAGACTGTGTCATTTTGCTAATGATGAAATTCAGGCTTACCAATCTGTAGTTTTGAGGTAGCCCTTTATCCTTAAGAGGAGACTTCAGGCAGTTAGAGCAGGCTAAGTAATGATTTCAAACCCAGCACGAAAGGAAACCGCTGACACTGTGGCAAAGCGTAGAACTAATAAACCACACACAACATGGTTATTTCCGTACTTCCGTTATGCTCTACTAATAGTAGGGTTTTCTGTAAGTAAACAGCAGCTTCTTTCTGAGGATGGTGTACTTGAGGCACTGTGAAAACATGAAGCTTGTTAATCTCATCTTTGTTAGTGTGGAAATGGTAGATTTCAAAGGGACAGACGCGAGTCCTTTGTTTCTGAATATTCTGTCTACTGGAGTTTTGGAAAATGCTGCTCACTAACTGTGAGCAATTGTATATTTAATCATCATCAGCATGCTACATTTTCTTCCTGGTACCTCTGATTTTTAGTCTTCCATATCGGAATGGCAGGACCTAGGGTGGCACCTGTGCAGTTTCCTCCCACTCCAGAAATATTCTTCAGCAACTCTAGCCGTTCATTGCATTGTAGTTCTTATGTTTACATCACAGCCACATCATGTGAAAAAAAAGATGATTTTTACTCCCAAACTCAGAATAGGAATACTGCTGGCCTTTCTAGCTTTGTATTATTTATGCAACTAGTCTAATGGAAGAAGTTTTAGATTGGACTTGAAGAGAAAGGCATCTTCTGTTAGGGAATGATGATAGAATTTATCTTCCTGAAGGCATCTCCACACTTAAGAGGAAAGCATGCTTGAGGGTACCAAAGCATTATGTTTTCAGCCACAAAGTTCTGTTTCACTGTCTCAGCTGCTGTTGCCAGCTATAAGGAACAGGATTGTCAGATTATTTTTCTTCCTTTTCTAAGTGCGTATATGATGTGTCTTAGCATTAGTGTGTGGAAAAAAAACAACCAACCAAACAAAAAAAAACTCACAAAAAACAAACCAGCCTCTCTGGGAATATGAATATTACATAAGTAAGTAGGTACTAGGTATAAAATTTTTCCTCACTGTGTAAGTGTTCTTGAATGTGTTTCAGTGCTGCTGGAGGGGAAATATTTGACTTGTGCGTTCCAGATCTGGATGACAGAATTGGTGAAAGGGATATTGTAAGACTTATAAGACAAATACTTGAAGGACTTTGCTGCTTGCATGAAAACAATATTGTTCATCTTGATTTAAAGGTAAGGCTACAGCAGACTTTTTATTTTAGTACTTTATCTTCAATTTAATATTATGATCATCAGTCATTTGTTAAAAAACAAAGACAAGACAAAAAGGAGTGTCTTAAAGTTTAAATAATTTTTAAAAATAAAATCTAGCAGTAAGTATTGCATAATAGAAACTGAAATGTCATTTAGTACATTGGGGGGTTTTGCAGCTTATATTTTATTAATTGAGAATTAAATCTTTTCTGTTCTAGCCTCAAAATATTTTGCTGAGCAGCGTCAATCCTCTTGGTGATGTAAAAATTGTAGATTTTGGTATGTCTCGGAAGCTTGAGAATTCTAGTGAGCTGCGGCAGATTATGGGAACAACAGAGTATCTAGGTATGGAAGAGTTGCTTCACAATTTCTGATGCGTGGTTTTGAGAAAACAGAAGCAGTTCATGTCATAAGCTTATCAAATTGTCAGTCATTACTGGAGAAAGAAAAGCAGGACAAGGCAACATGTTTTGAGCTGTTTGTTCTTTAGAGTAGTCAACAAATATTTGCACCAAAAAAACCCCTAATTATATCAATAAGTACACCTCCAATTTCATGCTGTGGTATTTCTTAATTTTTAGACTGTTAAATCAACAAGAAATTTTGGCTGTTAAATTCTTTTGATTAGAGTTGAAAGGCAACATTAGCATGCACAAAGAAATGTTCTTTGATGATTAGTAGGATGATTTAATAAGATTAAAATATTCCTTGGAAAAGGAAAGATTGCCGTTAACACTTGGCGGTCTCTGAGGGGCAGGTTTCCTCAATGGTCTGCCTACACTCAATTTTAAGAGCACTTCAGTGTGTAGTGACTAAGGAGCTATCTAGCATGTGCTAATAGCCACTAATCCTACGGTTGGCTTTGCGGTGTTAACATGCTGAAGGCTTTATGCATTCCCTTTAAAAAGCTGTATACTTGAAAACCTCTTAGTCTTCTATGTGCATGCATCTGATGAGAAAATATCTTGAGACTTGGTTAGAATAGACTTTAGACCATATAGTGCCATTTTAGTGTGAACCAGTTAAGTACTGGTGTGTCTAATCAAACAGAAGTAACTTTTTCGCACCCTTGTGACTTAAAAATAATGAACTTGATTATTGAAAATGCACATTTAGTCTCGTAGTAATGGTTGGCAAAAAACTGCCAGAAATGTAGTGTCTGATTCAAGGCCACTTGGATAATATATCTATTAAAGTGTTTTTCTTCTCCCCATCTCTTTCTCTAGCTCCAGAAATCTTAAACTACGATCCTATTACCACAGCTACAGATATGTGGTAGGTTGTGTGTGTTAATCCATTTTATTGAGGTAGGCATGACCACTTCACAATCAGAGGCCAGATCCAGATTCCGATGCGGTTTCATTTGGCTTCCAAGAATGCCCTTCTGTTGATGGGCTGACCAAAATAGGGAGAGTTGGGAAGGGAAGGAGCCCGCAGGATATAACCCAGGGCTTGCAGGAAGTACTGTACGTGAGTCTGTTGCACATCTAGTAGGGAACGCTGGTGGCTTCTGAGCACGCAGAGTATAGGCCTTTGTTCTAAGGGAGCAATACCAATGACTGGATAGCATACTTTATTTACTCTTAGATGCCATGCTTCATGTATTAACTGCTCTTGGATAGTCCTCCCTACCCGCTTTTGTATCATTAAATAATTGTATTATACAAATGATAAGTATTTTAACTTATCTTTAGAGCAATATGTGCAGAATGAGTCATAAAAAAATGAGACAAGTACCTTAAACTAATCCACAACTTTATTAAGTACATCTTTGTAGCCTATTAATTTCATGAGCTATGTTAGTGTCAAGGCTAGCTTTGTGATGTTTCCTTTAAACCACAAAATATTCATATGCTCTTATTAAGCATCTAAATAATTAATATTCAGTTTTAGAAGTTGTTATGATCTAATTACTCCTTTGAAATAGTAATTAAGTGTGTTTGTGAATGTGTTTTAACCACTTATTTGCCTGCTTTTGTGGGAAGATGCAAAAACAAACTATTGGTGTTCTACTCAGAATGACAAACACAGCACCTGCACCATAAGGAGTACGAAGGTTTGATCTATCGATCACAACCATTTTTTGTTACGAATCAAGGAACCATCTAAGACTTATAATAAATCACATGATGTGTGGTACTCACATTCATGTTCTCAGGGAAAAACATCTCAGCAAGAAGATTGTAACACAAATGTCAATTGTATGGAAAGGCTGACTAAATCTCAGTCTTTGATACTTCATCCAGAATTGTAGTGAAAGATGGGGATTCATTTATATGCAAGTTAAAGTCTATCATTTTGCAGTTCTATCATCCAGAATTGCCATATGTCCAAGGATGGGCTGTGTAAAAGTGATGTATTTCTTTGTCCTAACAATCTCAATGGGAAGAAAAGGGTGTATGGAAAGTAAGCATTAATTTTCAAAAATCTCTTCATTGAGATATATACATAGCTTTCTTGTGTATGCATGTGCATACATGCTTGAATCGCATAGAAGTGAGATGTCACATGATGTTTTTAATTCTTTGAGTGTGCTCGAAACGTCAGGAAGTTTGATCTGCAGCCTGAAAAATATGGGGGGTATATTGTTTAACAATCCTAGTAGGATTACACATTGTGTTCTTATCTCAGGAACATAGGTGTAATTTCATGTGTTATTATCTCAGGAACATAGGTGTAATTTCATACATGCTGCTGACACAAGAATCTCCATTTGTGGGAGCTGATAATCAAGAAACTTACCTTAATATATCTCAAGTCAATGTGGATTATTCAGAAGAAACATTTTCATCAGTTTCCCAGCCAGCCAAAGATTTCATTCAAAAACTTCTCATAAAAAATCCAGAGTAAGTAACAAACTCCTCCGGGCAAGAATCTTATCTTTTATGTTTGTGGAGCACCTAGAAAAAATGAACATTAATTTGGGAGCTTAATACCACTACTATGATCAGTCAGACATTTCACAATGCTTTGGTATTATCAGCTGGGTATTTAAAAGTGTAGGTTAATGCTTTTTTCATAATGTATGAAAAGGATCTTTGGTTCACTGTCTAGCTGTTCTTGTAGTCAGGCTTGGTCTTTGAGCTTTTTATTTTGAGTTCCTCTATATTTTCATTCAGAGGATAGATTATTAACAAATCTGATTAAATATATTCTGGAAAGGTCACATTCTTTTCCATAATTTAACCTTTTATTGCACAGTTTGGAGAGAAAAAATGCAGTTTCTTTGATGCACTGCTTTCTTGTTTCTTGACTTACCTTTAATGTATCTTCCTACTTAATAACATTTTATATGAAGACTTGACAGTCTTGTGACTAAGCGTATGTTTTTCAGAAATACAGTGTTTTGCCATGTTCAATCTCTAAAAAAAATGTTCTCAATCAAAAGTACAAAATTCTTTTTGCTTGTGAGGCACGTTTCCATAACTTTGCATTCAGACTCTAATCGAGGTCTTTCAAAGTAACTGAATTTTGAGAAAATAGTCTTTGAGAGTAGGAGAATTATAGACATCAACTGTGTCTCCACTTGCTGTATAGCGTTAAATCCATATATTTTTAACTGTGGCACCAGCAAACGCAGAAAACAAACAAATAAAACCAAAGAGGAACACCCTAAAAAGTATATATGGGGGAATAATGTTTAGCAAAGTCAGTTAGTCATGTTCGACTAGGCATGGTCGGGTATTATCAGTTATAGTGCTGTATTGTCTGGTGGTGAGACAGTAGTCCCTGTCTTCAGAGAGCCTGCAGCAAGCAAGAGTGACCCTGTTGTTTAGCTGAGAAAGAGATTCTGTGATAGGAGGGGACGATGGGAGATTGTATCTATGAAAGTGCTACTTTGATGAAATAAGAACTCCTTATAAACGCATGCCTGGACAGGATCAGGGATGAACGGTCCTTTCTATTCTGACATCTCACATAGAAGGTTTGTCAATATCTGGAATAACACAAAAACCACAGGATCATGAGGGAAGCAATTACGAAGAGCCTGTTTTGATAAATGTTAGTGTGTACCTGTGGGATGTTAGACATTCCGTCACAGTTACTTCTCTACTTGCTCTTTTGCTTCTGAGCATCTCAGAGTCTTTGTTATATCCTCAATAACTCTTTTTCCCATTCCTGATGACTATACTCTCTTGAATCTTAAGAGGAAAAATCTGTACTCAGATAGTCAACTCTGTAAAGTTACAGTTCTCTGACTGAAAAATATCCATGTGTCCTGGTAACATTAAGGATAAGTGGTGGGCTCTGTTGCATTTCCAGTAAGTTCTGTGGAACTTAACAATTGCATAACGTGATGAAAACTGTAGTAGCGCTGTACTAGCTTATCCAAAGGAACAGTTTTGTAAGTCCGTGGTTTGTTTGGTGGTAACTACGTTTTGGAAGGGTTTACACTAGTTTATGATGAATTGCAAGAGTAAAAGCCTGAAAAGTCAGTTTATGACATCATGTTAGTTGTCTCTCCTTGAAAACCTAATGACTGAGTATTCATTAACCTCCCTGTTTACAATGGTCTGTATAAAACATAGGACTTCAAAAACACAAGCGCGTGCGCAAATGTGCTGGGTTTGTGTGAAGGGATTCTGGTGGCAGGAGAGGATATTTGCTCCCTGTGACTTCCCTGGTTTTGGAGGCGGGTCTGACCCATACACACACACACACACACACCATTGAAAACAGAATTCTAAGGGACTACGAATACTGGCTGAGAAATATCTGTTGCTTGTTCTGATGAAAAGCTCACCAGTTCTGACACTCAGCAGTCAGGGAAACTGCCAACTAAAATTTAGATGGATGTTGCCAACACATAACCTTAACCGTGGTAGGGTCTAATGTGTTTTTTAGCAGCAGTGGTAGTGGTGGAAAAGCAGCAATATTAACTCTTCAGCGTTAATTCTGCTTAAGATTTCTTAGCATGTGTCAGAGCTATTTTAATTATTAAATACTTTCAGTATTTCTCAAATGAACTTGAGCATCTTTGCTTTTTTCTCTTTCAAAGGGAAAGACCTACAGCAGAGGCCTGTCTTTCTCATTTGTGGTTGCAGCAAGGGGAGTTCATACTCTTGTGTAGCCCAGAAGAAACGTCTTGCTCTTCTCTGATGCCAGGACACACACCAAAATGCTCAGAAGAGCGGAATGTGAAATCCAGTTGTAATGGTACCTGTAGCAACAAGGAAGACAAAGAAAACATTCCAGAGGACAGCAGTACAGTCTCCAAACGCTTCCGCTTTGATGATTCGTTGCAGTATCCTCAAGACTTCATGACAGACTTCGTATGTTAATATGCAATATAGACTTCTATAAAATGAATTTAGCATAATCTATTCCAGTGGCAAATATAAGATTATGGCTTGCCAATTTGTGCAGCACTGCAGCATTGGCATACTGGAAATGCACTTTGATTCTTTTATGCTGGTGCTTCCTTTTCTATCCGTTGCTGGCAATGGATTTAACTCCTGAGAAATTGGAGTTGTGGCACCAATAAAATGAATTATTTTTTTAAGGAGATATTATTAAATATTTTTGCACTTTTCAAGTTTTAGTCCAAAAATGATGCCAGAGTGAAAAAATTAAAACCTGAAAATGAGTTTGTTTAAACTCAAGCTTTGCCAAACAGTGGTTGAACACATGCACATTTTTATGACTAGCCTTGATAAGAAATTGGTCTAAGCAGGGAAACTGAATCTAGCTGTCTTACGGGGCTTATTTGTGACTGTTCTCATTGCTTTAAATTGAAGCTGAAGTTGGTATGTTTTGGGAATATGATACATCTGTTGGGGCCATTTGGAAAACTGCTTTTTCTTTGGGATCATCAGTAGTTAAGGAAGTGTTTCTGCATTATAGATATGGCCCACTTAGGGATTTAAATGCCTACTCTGTGTGGTTTTCCTGTGTTGGATCTCTGGAATGCTTGAATAGAAAATGGGTAGACTGTCAGTTCTTGTGTTAGTGGCCCTTTGCTTCTTATCATTAAGTTACACTGAAGAGGATAAGGGTCCCAGGCGGATGTGAACATTCGATACACTTGTTAGTTTGCTTTCATCAAACCTCTGAAATAGTGTTGTCTACCTGTATTGACCTATTCCTCATCTTAAAAAGAAAGAAAAAAACCACAAACAAAACTCAAAACAAACAAACCTACAAAAAAGTATAATAACTGAATAAACTGAAAATAACCATTTTTGCCAGTGAAGCTGCAATTAAAAGCTTTTCATTATACCTCTCTAATGTAGAAGTGCAGTGCATCTTTCTGTCCATTATTGTTATCCATAATAACTTAGCTTCATGCCCACTCTGAGAAATGGACTGCAGTGTGTTAGTATTTAAAGACAAACTACCTAATAATCGTTTTGAGCGTTTAAATTTTGTTTATTTAGTGGGTTTGCTGTTGGTTTGTTTTTGAAGTTATATCCCTTCTGCCTTGTGTTTCTAGGGTCTGAGGAAATAATGCGTATGTCAAGTTTTGACTTAGAGCAAATACCAGTCGTGCCTTAACAGCCTGAAACTAATACTGACAAGACAAAATC